TGATTCTATGAAGCAGTAGTGATATTCTTTTACTTAGATATAATCTAATGCAGAATATTAGATTGTATCTAAGTATCTGGGTTATCATTACTGAGCGATAATGTTTCCATCAGACTGACGCACACTGGGTTCTTTGTCATCCTGTTACAGTTCTTTTGCTAGAAGAGAATATTGTAAACCTGTTGGTCAGAAGGTTTGTAAGCCTCTTAATGTGTTTGTTTACTTATTTTACAATAGTTGTTTGACTATCCTAGGTTCCACAGAAAAGAGGCAAACTAAGGACACTCTGATCTAACTGGCAGAATCTGTGAACTGCTTCCATGTGTGCAATTCTCTTTCCACTTGCAGAAACAGCAATATATATATGCCCTTTTGCATACAAATTTGCAAAATTGCATGTACAAATGTACTATGACCTCTATCAATTAGGATAGCTCCTGCCTCATAGCCCTACCCCAAATGTCAGTTTTCATGCAACTGACTACTTTACTAAGGAAATGGGTCTCAGCATTTCCTAGAATCAAGGATTGGAGAGATTTGGGCTTAAGAGCCAAAATAAATTTGCTGTCTAAAGAAGTTTACTTCCTCTGATTATTCGAATCATTGAGGGGAAGACTGTTCCCATAGTGGTAAACCCAGTTATCTTTCACTCATCGTTCTACAATTCCAGTTGTATTGTTAACAGCATTATTGCATTTCTCTTCTTAAAACTTACCAGAACTAATAAATGTAAGAACAGAATCCCTGTATAAATATGTGCCCTTCTCATTAAAAATATGTTTTATTTATATCTTGATAGGATCTGGCAAGGACCCATATAATTTGTAAGCTTTGATACTAAAAGTTGAGAATCTCTGTCCTAATGAAAGCTTGGCAGCAGGCACGGACAACTTTGGGAAGATGAGGTTTAAATCTTGTCTACTTGGCATTTTCACCTGCTTCTTTAGCTACTTGCTCAAAACAGCTGAATTGTCAGAAAATGATGGGGTTGCCTTTTCTTTGCTTCATGCATGGGAGTTTTATGCCTCAGTTGAGCAGCCTGGGGTAGGGGAAAGGTTTGAAACTTCTCCTGAGGATCTCTTTCCTAGTTCCTTCTCTAGAGGTTGCAGAATGACTATATTCACCTGTCACATCAATTATGACTTTAGGCTATCATTCTGGCCTCCAGACTTGCCCTCTTCATCAGTTTCAGGTGCTTCTGCCTTTTCCAGCAGCTTCAACATCTTACAGAATTCCAGTTTTGTGAACCTGAGAGCTCTTACTTCTGCAGCTAAGGGACCTTTCACACAAAGTTGGAGACACTCCTTCATCCTTTAGGATAACTAATACAAAACAGCCCACAAGCAAGCATGGGCAGAAAAAGCTCATCTAAGAACTAAGAAGAGCTATTTAAAAGCAGTCAAAAGCACAAAAGAATGTTTCTCCTGTTATACTACAAGCAGCTGGGGGGCGGGGGTATTATCTTTGGCAAGACCACAAATCATTTTTGATCCTGATTAGCCTCCTCCAGGCCACCATGGCTTTATTTGTGATAATAAAAAATAGACATATTTACTCTCATGTGTTTAAATGCAGTTCATTTTGCCTCCAAAGCACACACACAGAGAACAGACCTGTTTCTGGTGAAGAATCTATCATTTGTTAGTTGCTGGGATATTAGGATTTTGGTCACAGTCAGTAGACTATGTTTTAAGAACGTAAGCTAGCGATGACTGATATAGATACACTGCATCTGTGATGGACTGGTTTGGTGAAGGCCGCGCTCGGGGAGATAAGCATTTCCTTAGCCCCCAGAAAGAACGTGGGAAGGTGAAGAGGATGAGACTGGCACCACCCTAAGAAATTCACAGTGTTTGCTTGCTGGCTTGGGAAGTTTAAATTCAGTCTCGCAAGATTCTGTCTTGAAGGTGAAAACTAATGAAGGCTATAGAACTATATCTGTACTGTCTCGTGGAGTTCTTTGGGCTGAACCTGACAGTATCTTAGGTATTAAGAGATGCTCATAAAAGCTGAGAAGCAGAGAAAAGTTATTTTAAAAAAACTGAACAAATGAAACTATATTCAAGTGTTGCCTCCTACTGTAATGAGGAACAATTAGTAATCAACTATGATAAATCTAAGGTTTTAGTTTTTTCCAACAAAAGACAAAGGCACAAGTGGACAGTTGATTCCCATGAATTAGAGCAAGTCAAATGTTTTAAATACTTGGGCCTCTTAAA